TGGCACACCAGGTCGTCTTCGGACGCGAGAGAATTGTGTGAAGAGCAATTCACATTTTTAAACGTGTCAAAAAATCGATAGGCCAACCACTAAAACATGCTATTGACCACGGATGACACAGCACTATCGATTTTTTGACAGGTTTAAAAATGTGAACTGCTCTTCACACAATTCCCTCGCGTCCGAAGAAGACCTGGTGTGCCAGTGTCGAAAATTTACAATAAAGTTTGTTCCTATTTCCCGAAGAATCTCTTCTGTTTTCGTTAATTTTTGGAAGGGCCGGACTTTACCATATTCACCGACCACAAGCCGCTGCCGTTTGCCCTGCGATCCCACTCTGAAACATAAACCGAGAGAGATTGGTCGTTTGGACTACATTTCTCAATTCACCACCGACATCCGCCACATTGATGGCACAAAGAATGAGGTGGCTGACCTCCTATCTCGACCTTCCCTCTCTGCTCTTCAACTCTCACAGGGGATCGACCTTGGTGCTATGGCGGTGGAGCGAAAACGAGTTGGCTGTCCTGGCGACGAAGCTGTCACTCGGCTCCAACTTGCGGACATTCACCTCACCACCGGGACTGGCACCATCCTTTGTGATGTGTCGACTCCTTCTCATCGCCCTTTGTGCCCCCCTTGATGCGTCGAGCTGTGTTCCAATCTCTTCATGGACTTTCCCAGCCTGAGATTGGAGCCTCACAAAAAATTCCTCGCGGAAAGGTTAGTCTGGCATGGCATTAACAAGGACGTCACAGATTGGTCCCGCTCCTGCCCGAGTTGCCAGCGGAGCAAGGTTCATCGCCACAACAAGTCTTCACGCGGTGCTTTTCCCAGCCCCGACACTCTGTTTAGCCATGTCCATCTTCATGTCATAGGCCCATTGCCTCCATCCAATGGCTTTACCCACCTTCTTACTTGCGTCAACCGCTACACCCGCTGGGCCGAAGCCATCCCTTTGCCGAACATGCAGGCAGAAACCATCGTCAAGGCTTTTGTCAGTCGTTGGGTCGCCACTTTTGGTGCGCCATTTACCGTTACCACTGATCGCGGTGCCCAGTTCGAGTCTGATCTTTGCAACACCCTT